TTTTCTTTCGTGGAGGTTCGGAAGTACAATCATTCTTTGCCTGTTTTTTGTTAATATCATTAGAGGTGCGTCGTTCGGAGGAAGAGTTATTTTTCTGCTCTGTTTTGCTATCGCGGCTTGTTGCTGAGTTGTTGTTTGTAGATGATTCCGATGATGAATTTTTGTTGTTGTTGGCTGATGATGACTTGAGCTTGTCAGCAAGTTTTCGTTTCATTTTTTTTTTGAATTTCCTTTTTTATTGGAATAGAGCGATTTTATGAGGAAGTGATTTTGGAAGCTGTCAGACAAAATGGCAATGCACTTAGGTTTGATGGTCTTCCCATTGTGTCCTTTCGATAAGATCATGTTATTATCTGACAAGGAACTCATTCTGTCAGCAGTGAAGAACAAAGGATTCGCATTACATTTTGCAAATGAAAACTTTCAAAAAAAGGTGAAGAACTTGAGATGGAAGCTCTAAAATGCAATGGTTATGTTTTTGAAGATAGTGACGAATGTTATCAAGCTAGAATGTATCATTGCTATCATAACCCTTATTTTGGAAATGATTATTAATTGTTTTTAGTTTGGCTGAAATTGAATTCGAATTTGTAAAAGGTCAGTATTGAATGTCTTCAATTTTTATTCATCTTGATATTGTACTTTCCACTGGGAAACAGTGTTTTTCACATGATTTGGTCGTCTCCAATGAAATCACCCAGAGAGGGATCAGAATGGACATTTCCACTAATGTTTGGCGATGATGATTGATCACTATCCACTGGTGTCCAATTGGCATCATCAGAAAGGTTCAGATAAGACGAATGGTCATGCATAGAGTGATCGAATGAAACAGAAGAAGGAGTCGCTTCATTGCTGTTACCATTTGCAGTGATTGCTTCCATTAATAATTGGACAAGTACTTGTTTTAACATGGCATTCACATCCAATGTTGACGACAATGAAGAAGCATCAATAGTGGTATCAGAAGAACAAGATAGGTGACCAGAGATCAAAAAGTTGGAAAGAGGTTTTGGTTGTTCTGAATCAACAAGTGTTCATGCGTTGGGGGAGTTGATTCTTGAATCTGTGTGTCGGTGGCTCGATCTGGTTGTACAAATGAAACTTTATACGTGGAAGAATTGTTTGCCATGCTGGTATTAGAGATTATGGGAAAGGTATTCATCAAGGTTTGATTGTTCCACCCACAATTACCTTCATGAATCATGAAATTGTTGTTGTTGGAGTGGTGGTTATTGATATTATACAATTCCAATTCAGAGAGGTTTTTGTGGTGAGAAAAGGAATGAACAGAACAAGCGCTTGAAGAAGAAGTATTGTTGTTGTTGGTTACATCCACTTCTCCAGCATACCATTGCTGGACTTGATTCAGTGGGTGTACTCGGAATGGTTGTTGTTGTAGTTGAGGTAATGGTTGTGGTTGCATTTGTTGAGAGGTATTAGGAAACAGATCAAAAGTGGAGGATGGTGGTTGTTGTTCTTGTAAAGAGGTAAAAGGAGAAAGAAGTGCGAAACTGTCATCATGGTTTTCATTGGTCGATGGGACTTGTATTGATGGCTGATTTGTTTCTTGCATGTCAGGAACATGAGACAGTCGCTTAATGATGCTCAAATATTCTGTCAATGACACTTGTTGAGACATGAAAGGTAATAATGGACACTCTTGGTTGGAGCTATCATGACCACGACTGCAAGTCATCTTGTCCAAACATTTTGAAGATGAAACACCACATCGCGATTGCTCGCCTCTCACCTTGTAGTTGCACTCACTGCGGAGTGGTGGTGTGGATGAGTTTGAATTCATCTGATCCAAAGATGAATGCATCTCCTCTGTTTGATTCAATTTTCTCTTCTTCTTTTGTGAAATCTCTTGATCAGGGCAACCATCCACAACAGAGGAGATCAACGAGGAAGAAGAAGTTGTTGTGGTTGGTTCAGAGGATTCCATCCGTTTTGGACAATAAAATCTCTTCATCAAGCTTTTGGCTTTTTCTTTATCCAAAGAGGAATGAATAGAGGTGGAAAGGATGTCAAATTTGAGAAGTGGAACTTCTAGTGGAGCTGAAGGGACATGATCATCACCAGAAGTGCTCTTCAGATCCAGTTCGAAATAATTCTTTTGAAATCAAGAATGTCGAGTTGCTTTCGAAGTTTTCTTGGTTGACGGTTCTTACTGACAGCAGCAAGTTCGTTCTTCTTCTTGTTGCTGCTGGTGGTGTGATTCTTCTTCTTTAACGTGTCCATGGATTGCTGATTTGGCATTTGACAGAAGGCAGTGATTGGGTTGTGAAGCACTTTTCTCGAGTTTGAAATGCACTCAGAAATTCATTCCTCAATCGCATTTATAGTTTTCTTCCTAACATCAAGTGGCATTTGACAGCAGGTAGCCTATCTTCGTTGGCCCAAAATCGAAAACCACACCTGTGAAAACTCTCTTTCAAGTAAAGAAACCAAATCGTTTGATAGGCCGCCCACGCGCATGAACTGGACTCAAGCCACACATTTGGGCAGGGTAGTTCCATTGGAGATTGGTTTGACCAAAGAACTGGATTCCCTATCTCATTCTTTAGCCGAAAAAGTTTCTCAAAAAAGTAACAATTATTCTCTTGATCGTCAAAAACGCAAGATCTCCAAAATTAGGTCTCAAAGTGGTGTTTCGCCGTATCACACGACAACATGTTTCACTTGATTCGAAACAAATAGAAAAACGAGAATCCAAATTGTATAATCTTACACAAGCCTTTTAAATTTATGCCCTCAGGATCTGTCAGCAATCAAAATGACAATTGTCAAATGATGATAATCTTATGGTAAAAGTGGGGCTGTAAATTGATCTATTTCGTAACCAATTTGTCACTTGTTATTTCAATTTATTTCAATCGTGAAAGTAGACCACAAATAAGGCCTTTCAGACATTTCTTTCTAGGGGTGATTGTACGAAATAATCGCGTAGAACATTGAACCCAATGGGGTGAATGAACGTTGACAATTATGCTGTATATGATCTGATTCAGTAAAAGGACTGCTTTTGTGAATGGTTAGGCAACATTGTAAACGTAGCGACCTTTGGAATGAATAATTTAAAGGAAAGACGCCAGAATTACTTCAGTTTATCACCCAACTCAATTTTATTGTTGCTATTGCAAAAAATTAGTTGAACAACTTTATTACAAGGAATTTCATGTTTTTCAGTCCAAATATTCAAAACAACTGGAATTTCCATGTCAGAGAAATTATTTCAAAGAACAAAAATTAAAGATTCACAAAAAACATAACAACAATCTATCAATTAGGTTGTTCCATTTTGTTCCAGAATATTCTCCACTGAAAAATGCCTTCAAAAGTTTCTTCTTCTTCTTCATCGTCATCATCGAGTTCTTCATCCAAAGGCTCCTCTTTCACAGCCAATATCAAGAAAAAACCGTACGATAAATTCGGAAATTCAGAAAAGTATCATTTCTTTTGGAAAGATAAATCACCATTTAGTAATTGGCATACGGCTCCGTATACTCTATCGGGCAATAGATTTGAAAATACAGAGATCGGAATGATGTATGAGAAAGCCATATTGTTTGATGATCATGAAATTGCTTTACAAATTTTGCAAACAACAAGTCCATCAACTGCAAAAAACTTGGGAAGACTAGTCTCAAATTTTGATGAACAAGTTTGGCAACAACATCGAGAAGAATTGGTTTATAAACATTTGCTTGCAAAATTCACTCAGAATGAACACTTGAAAAAAGCATTATTGGAGACCGGAGACAAAATTTTGGCTGAAGCTTCACCGAGTGATTGCATTTGGGGTATTGGCTTGAAAGAACAGGATGCCATCGAAACTCATCCTAACAATTGGAAAGGATTGAATTTACTAGGAAAATTATTGACACGGGTGAAGGAGGAAATTAGAAATTCTAATTTGTAATAAGTTAATATGTTCATCAAAAAGGAAAGGTAATTGAGAAAAGCTACCTTGGTTGGAAACATTACAACGATTTAATATCGTCTGGTACGCAGAGAAAAAGCATTGCAAGGTTTAGCTCGATTTTGAATTGAGAGTTGAGATTGTGTTGATTGTGAAACGATAATGAAAGGGATGGATCGATAATGGACTGGGTTTGGCTTCATTAAGGAATTTCTTTTTTGTTCAGTAGAGAGCAGTTGTTATTATCGTCTTCTTGGTGATGAGAAATGGTGTGATCTGTCTGATTTGTACTCGAGGAATCCATCTCCTCCTCCTCTCTTTGAGAATCCACCAGTGTTTTTTCATGTCCTTGCATCATCACAATGTTGTTATTTGAAGAGGAATGAGAGTCAACAGATGGGGAATGACGGCCATCAGAGAGTTCACAGGCCGTCCAGTCCACCTCCACTTTCTCTGATGTTTCCGTTCCCTTAAGAAGTAGCGAGTTGGAAGAATGCAACACTACACTTGCACAGCTGCCCATGATTATTATTGGAATTAAGGATTGACTACGAGTAGATTCGAGTTGTTGTTTTTATGATTTTTGGATGATTATGAGGCCATGATTTCAATTTATAGGATATCGGCATTAGTAGTCCTCTCACCATCATTCGGATGTTCTAGAGTTGAATCCATCAAGACCATTTTGAGCGGTATGGGTGTTTTTTAATGCAGTGCGGTTGGTCATGAACATTTTGGACATTTCTTAAATGGTTCTACAATTCCACAAGGACTCGTTTCAAAGGATGATGGAAGAGATTTTTCGGCTACTTTTATGGACATATCTCAACTTGCGACAGCGTGATCGTTTGCTTTGATTCAATCGCCGTCCTCATGGCTATTTTCATTCAATCTGCAACTGTCCACACGAATTTTGTGCGCTCTGTTAGAAACTGTCATCTCCATCGTTAATTGAATGCTTAATGATGCTTGGATAATTATGGATAACACCACAATGAGGTAGACCACACTGTCTTTTCGGTAATTGACATATTGAGACCCATCATGTCTAAGGAAGGTCTCTATATTTGAGGCGCCTGTCACTGACTTGGATAGAGGCAGAGGACACAAGAACAGAACGAATGTTGTCTCGTTTAACAACTTGACACCATGATACACACGACATGTGCCATTCGTAAAGTATTCGTAAAACACACATGAATGGACTGGCAGAGGTTGAGCAGCTAATCGTGAGGTTATCTTTCATTTAAAAAGAGAAGAGACGCATAGACAGGAGTGGATCCATGAACAGGTACATCCACTCGTATCGCAGAAAGCCAACTCAAAGGCCCTTCTTATAGGGAATTGTTTGTATGACTTTGGGGTTTGCAGTAGACAAAGCCAATGCAAGAGGAGTGGTTTTCACATTGCGCTCTGATTCTTGCCAGGTTTTCGAACTCCAAAGGATTCGAACGGTGGTATGTGGCTTCACTCTGTTGCAACATGAATGCGAAGAAATAAGTTTTTCTATTTTTATCAAATAAGGACTTCACATTGAATTCAAATTAGTTAGCGATGGGAATTCTCAATGAAAATCTTGCTTGGAATTCGAGAGACGACGCATGATCATCGATGAAAAACCCAACACAAAAAAAACCTCCACAAGAAGAAACAACAATAATTTCGCAACTATCAACCCATGATGTTACTAGCCGATTATTCAAATAACACCTGTATGACATCAAAATCATCTCTGACAGAGCCATGTATTGGCACTCCTGATGGTGATCATCGTCAAAATACAGACGCAGCTTTTTTAGAAGGCTGAAAGGGAATTTTGTGAGTTGCAGCTGCTTCAAAAAGCTGCAGTACGACAACGGAACAGGATCATACGATCAACGCTTCGTGTGGTCGTTCTCAACAACGAAATGCCTTTCAAATTCTCGACCTGTTGCAAATGACAAATGATGAAAGTTAGAGAATGAATTCTCATTCTCTAACTTTTGAAAAATGTCAACTCATTCAGAAAGAGAATCAATGCCCCGTGAAGGTAAAATCACAAGGCATTAGAACTTTGGTATTCCGTGACTCTTCAAATATGCTTTCCATTGTTGAGAAAACTCCCACTATCGAATCGTTGGCATTTAAGGGTGAAATGAATGAAGAGGAGTTTAATTTGTAGGTAAAGTTCCCTTTTGGAAAACAGTTAAAAACACTGAATTTGTGTGATTTCGGGATTTTGCGGCGTTCTAAATTGAACAGAAACTCTCTTGAAATAATGGAGATTCCTAAACTGAACGTGAACCACATGTCAGAACTTACTTCACTGACTGTGAATGATTTGGATTCTATTCTATTCATGCCAAGTACTGTCACGAATTTAGGACTGTACCTTTTGAATGGGACTTCATTGAAAACAGCTGTAAAAAATCCATTGCCTCATGTCTCTTCCCTTACCGTCTATGGCTTGAGTACATCTTTACCATTACCAACCTTAATTAAGGCCATTTGTACTGCATTTCCAAATCTCAAACATCTCACATTGCCAGAAACCATCATACTTAACACTTCTGCAGCAAACACGAAGGAAAGCGATTCGTCTTATTTGGATGGAACGCTCTTGTTGGAGCCAAATGAGTTGTGTAAAATCACCATCTTACACTCTGATAATGCATGGCCCATGTTTTTGCATGGTCTCTTGTATGAATTGAGGTTGTCATTTCCTTGTCAAAGTTTCACCACTTCCTTCGAGAAGTTACCTTCTAATGAGAGCATTACTTTTCAACCAATTTCATTGATTGATTGGAAATGCAAGTTGAAGAATCACATTCACATCAAAGCAGAACAATATTTCAAAAAGATCCATCAATGGTTCCAGTTATATTGCAATCAGCCTCAAATGAAGCCTCTCATCGATGAAATGATGCACATTATCGTTCAGATGTGCATGTTCAAAAGTTTTTATTCAGAACAAGATCAACAAAAACTCATTGACCTTTTGGGAAATTTGAATATGAAAATATTTGAATTTGAAGAAATGAAGTTCTATCTCAAGAATGTCATTGAAGTGAGAAGAAAACAGTTGAACTTCTTTCTTGATTTTTTCAATTCAGTTCATGAATATTCGGCGCTCGAGAGAGCAATGCAACTTCTTGAGGAGCTTGTTGAATTGGAAAAATGTTCCTCTCAAGAATTCATTAAAACCAATGACATGAGTGAAAAGAAGAAGCAGCTCAATGCAACTTGCAAAAGTTCAGACCTTATTGTTCGACACGTTGAAGAACTTTCGGATTGTGTGAAAGAAATGGAAAAAATTGTCATGTTCAACTCGGGTCCAAAAACTATAAGACCTGAACAATGGTATTCTGAAGATATTATTGAAGTTTATGAGCCAATAGATAATATCGAAATTGAAAGAGACACGATGGAGGATGAGAGATGATTCGAATTGAGATGGTTATTGAGGTGTCAGTCATCCCTTATTTACCTCTCCGCTACTTTCAAGGAATCCAAAAAACAAATAAACGTATTCGCTTAAATTTATATTTAATGACCAACCACAAGATAACGACCCTTCAACGAATATTAAGCCTCACAGAATCTATTTAACAATTTTTAGCCAAAGGATGACAAGACAGCCAAAAATCTATGGTGGAAACTCGAGATCAAAAATAGATTTAAAAAATTTAAAAAAAAATCAAAACCGGTTCCAAGTTCCGTTATAAGGTTGGTTTCTATTCCGATTCTGCTTGAGAGAGGAGGATAACTGTTAATTGTTCAATCATCACGTATCTTGTGTTCGGTCAAATAATTATTAATTGCTATTGATTGTGTTTTATTTCATCATCATTATCTTAACCATTTTGTTGTCAAATCTCTTAATCCTTCATCGTTCTCTCTGATTTAGAAAATTGAAAATGAAAGTAACCATCAGATGTAGTAACGGAGATACATTCTCTATTGATAACGTGGATCTCGACAATACAGTTGAAGAATTTAAACAAGTAGTTGCGAGTCATTCCAATATTCCGGCCTCCGATCAACGTTTAATCTATAGAGGAAAAGTACTCAAGGATCAAGCCACTTTGAAGAGTTATGGCGTTGAAGAGGGGCTTACCATTCATTTGGTAAGAGGAAAACCATCGGGTGCTGCTACTACCACTTCTTCAACAACCACTCCATCGGCAACATCAACAACAACCACTCCACCACCATCAACCACCACTTCGTCAAATGTACCACCATCCTCTACTACCACTAGCACAACAACCACTAATAACACCACCTCACAAACCGCCCCCAATCAACAACAAAATCCATTCAGTTTGTTTGGAAATTTAGGTGGTTTTGGTGGAGATAATAACAACAACATGTTCGGAGCAGGTGGATTTCCAAATGTAGATCCTAACATGATGCAACAAATGATGAATAATCCTTTCGTGCAAAGTATGCTCAACAATCCAGATTTCATTCGTGAAATGATGAATTCGAATCCTCAAATGCAACAAATTATGAGAAATAATCCTGAAGTTGGTAGAATGCTTCAAGATCCTGAAATGATCAGAAGAGCAATGGAAATGGCAAGAAATCCAGAGCTCATGAGAGAAATGATGAGAAACACTGATTTAGCCATGAGTAATATTGAAAATCTTCCAGGAGGTTTTGACGCTCTTAGAAGAATGTACAGCGACATTCAAGAACCTTTACACGAAGCCACAACTGAAATGTTTAGAGGAACAACAACTACACCAGAGCAACCAACAACGTCAAACACTACTTCTGTACCACCTGGACAACCATTCAACATGTGGGGAAATAATTCAACAGGAACAGCAGCAACAACAACAACACCACCACCTTCTTCCAACACATCGTCAACTGGAAACACAGGCAATACAACAAATGCGAACCCATTTGCAAACATGTTTGGTGGCATGGGAGGAATGGGATTCCCAAACATGGGCGGAATGAACCCACAACAAGTTCAACAAATGATGAACAATCCTTTCATGCAAAGAATGATGACAGAAATGCTTTCCGATCCACAAATGTTAGATCAGCTCATCAACTCAAATCCAATGTTACAGCAAATGACCCAAAGCAATCCAATGTTGAGAACCATGTTGAGCAATCCCCAATTTATTCAACATGTCATGCAATTGCAAGGAATGATGAATCAATCTCAAGGTGGTACTAATACTTCGTCGACAACTGGAGGAAATGCTTTCCTCAAATGCCAAATCCATTCTTATTTGGCAATCCATGGATGGGTGGACAAATGCCAACAACAACTGCCAATACACAACCTCCACGAGAGCGATTTGCCGCACAGCTTTCTCAACTCCAAGAAATGGGCTTTTTTGACGAGCAATCAAATATTGAGGCTCTTTTGGCCACCAATGGAAATGTAAATGCTGCCGTTGAATATCTGCTGTCCAACCCTCCACCATCAAGAAATATGTAATTTATTCAGTAAATAAATCCAAAAAGATCAGCTACAAAATATATAGATTGGTGTGACACTGTCCGAGAAGGCATCATCATGTGTTGCTCAAAACTTTCGATTCGAAAACCAATTTTTCATCATGTGTTTTGAAACTACCTTAATTTGATGATAGAATGAATAGAAATCCAAAGTCGTAAAAAGAGCAGACACCAAAGGGTAACAGGCTCCCAAAACAACTCCAGGAAAACCTCTTCCATACTCCATCATGTAGGTATGAGGAGCTGATTTATAGGAACATGCTTCAAATCTTGGTAAGAAAGTCATGTCTCCTGGTTTGTAGTAAAGTCCTCTGACATTTCCAGGAGTGTATGTTTCGTGATGTCCCTATTCATGAATATTGTTTGCAGGAATTAGTTTTGAAAGAGTTCATGTCAAGGTGAAATTCAAAGAGAAAAATTCAACCAACCTGAATAATGTAATCATAAACATCCATCATGTATCTGCCAGAATATCCACTTGTGCCTACTGGAGTTCCATAGAGCTATGAGTGCCACATGTCAACCACAGTGTAGTATCATTTCAACAATAATATCAATTATTATTTATGAAATTATTGAAGAATGCACTAAACTTACAATAATATACTCAGTAAAGCTAAAGTGGAACACACAAATATGTCCAAGAGCTCCCTAATCATTTGTAATGTCGTTCCACATTGTTGGTTGATCCATAATAATTAGATGTTGGATGAACACAATAATCCTGAATTTGAAATAAATATTGAACAAATAAATATTACATACACCACACATATTAAACATCCATTGTTGTTTCA